CGACCGGCGGTAAAAGGAAATGCTTCAAAAACTCAAGCGCTTTCAGCATCGCTCAACCTTACACAATTACCCATGAGACAAAGTAAATGGATTGGAAAAACGAGCAATAATGGACAACAGCGAGAAAAACATAAAATTCTTTTAAAGTATGATTTTTTGAAAACCACAATATCTTCTGATATTAAGGGAATCGATAAGCTATAATAGGCTCAGACAAAGTTCGAATCGCGAAGGAGGCTGCTGTATAGCAGTGAAGTAGCTGTTCTGCCATTGCAGTGACGAATGTCGGATCGAAACAAAACGAAGGAGCGCAATTGAGTTAGCCGCCAGCTAGGGGCGACCCTGCGGCGACCGATCCTTCCGTTCCAACTCTCCGCCCGAAACTAAACGAGAAAAATCGTCAACGATTGCCGTTTGACTTTATCCCCCCATATAGATGCTTAATTGTAAATCTCAACATGTTGCTCTAGACCTCGAGATCTTCGCAAATTTGCTGTTTAAAGAAGGATTGTGAGGCAAGGTTGAACGATGAAGAAGGTAAAACTTACTTACAAGGGAAGGAATTTAGGTCGAAGTGGCCATCGAGGTGCAAATCGTCTGAGGTGTCTTCGAAGGCGGACCTCAAATCTGCGTTCGATATCTAGTGAACGATTCTCTGGACAACGCTACAGAGCTTATTGCGATACTGAACAGACAAATGTTCCAGAAATATGATACGCATGCACTTGGATGTGGAGAGGTGGTGGTGGATACTATGCTGGCTTCGTGTCCATAAGGCCAAAGGTTTGGGAGCTTGATGTGCGGGGTTTTTTGCACTTTTCAGAAGTCGCTCAGTGCATTTGGCAGCCACTGTCGCACCTTTGGGAATCCTTGGGGGAAACTGCTGTTCGCAAAGGAATTGGATCATTTCAGATATTTCAGTCGTGAATCCCTTCTGATCACCTTTCTTCCTCTTCTTGAAAAACAAATGACCTCTCAATTTGTTGAAAATCTTTAAATAGGCTTAATGACATGTTGGGTAAGCTCATAATCATTTGGCATAGAAACCCGGTCTTCCGCTTGTCAGGGGAACAATGGGCGAGTGCCTGGGTGTGATACCTAAAGAAGACTTAAAGGCGAATTCACGGTGAAAAAGCAACCCATTTCAAATTAACCTAGGGATGGTGAGTGGTACACGAAAGAAGGAAGAACCATGAGAAACGGCCCAGAACCCGAGAAATGGGACCCCTTCCTTGCCCGTTGATTTCCGCATTGATGCGACTCTCATCGCTGTGCCCTCTTCAACACTACGCTCTCTCTGCTATCTAATCACTCGCCACGTATGCGGCGAGTGATTAGATAGTCGGTGGGCGTACCGCGCCAACCGCCAAGAGTGAGCCATGCTAGATCGCCGAGGTCAAATCTTTCGCTGCCAGTCCGCACCCTCAGGAGGTCCGCCTGTCTCCCCACTGGGCAATTTTCCCCTTTTTCGACCTTCGCTCTTATCGCGGAATTCTCCTTCAAGAACTAACTCCATCACATGCTCACAAGGCAATTGTGCGTCAAGCTGGTGCGATGTTCACGTTCAGGAGCTCTAACTACCTACATTTGGGAACACATTGCTAGGATAATTGTGATTTTCACCTTCACATCGAAAAATGCCGGAACGTGATATCTTTTGCAGCGGTCAAAGTCAGGAATTGGTGCTCTCAGCTCACCGCAGATATGAAGGTTATTTTCATGCTGGATTCCTTTCACTCCTACACACGCAGATCCAACTCAGAACCTTCTTGTTCACTAGTATTGTACTCATGGGTGTAGAAGGAACCAGCTACTAACGAGCTGTAGGAGTCGATTTCTTGATATGGATAGAATTTGTCACAAAGGGTAATTGGAGCGCCTAAATACCGTTGTTACACTCTCTCGGCGAGAAAACGTTCGTGGGTAGGGTACGCTAAAGTGCCGCAATACCAATGTCAGAAAGGGCAATTTATCAAAAACCGACAATACCTCCTATTAACTTGCTATGAAAAGCCAAAGAAAACTGAGCGAGCGGATCCGAGCCCTTGACGTGATGCCGCGAATCCACATTTTCAACCGCTAGGCTATCACACCAACTGCGGGTGGGAAAAAAATGTAACCGTGTCGTAATTTTATTCGCAGCATCGTTCAGCAGATTCTGCAGGCAGATTTTAATCAGCGACTAATTACGCATCAGGTGGTATACATCTCACTTTGAACAACCACCTCAACCCACCATCCTTCCCCTGCAAAGGCAAGGGAACTCCCAGCCGAGAAATATTATACTTCGCGAACGAATCGAACGATTGCCCACGGCAACCTAGCATAATCCCTCCAGTGGTGCTATCGGCATGGCACGCCCACCGACTAGGTGGCCACTCGCCGCAGCTGTCTAGCCGTTTAGCAGAGTGAGAGAGCCTTAGCGCCGATGAAGACAGCACCGATGAGAGCCGCATCAGTGCGGAGAACAATAGCAAAAATTGATCTCATTTTTTGGGCCTGGACCTTTCTCATGGCTTTTCCATCCTTCCGGCGCCACTGATCACCTGTGCCTTGATTCTAATAATTCTGCCTTCTTATCGTAAATTTAGCCTTTGTTGCATAGAAGTATAACAAATTCGCAAAATTATACAGGGTCCGCGAGACAAATTCTCGGTTTCATAGCTTAGTATTCCTTGAGTGTTCTATACAATTAGATTGGCGGAAAAGTTTTGTTCCATTTTTTATTAACAAGCTCTATTGACGTACAGAAGCGTGCAAGATTAAACACACTGCGTCTCCTAATCATACAGCCACCTAGAAATTGTTCAAAATCTCGAATTCCACAAAGTTTCTCCAACAGGAAAACTGTGTCAAATTTGGTCGCGAATTCGAAAATCAACACAAAATTCCAGGTTGAAAATGCAAAAATTTTTATCCTAATTTTTCCAGAAAGGGTCGCTTTTCCAACGTCTCCAAATGATACAGCCACCCCGTGTTTCTTCGTTGCATTTCATTTCTGCTCGATGAAACTGATTGGCAGTCCTCAATTGTTCTTTCTTAGGTTATCAGGAAAGGAAAGCAACTATTGGACTTCGAAAAAGGGAAATCGTCACAAAAAAAGAAAAATTAAGCGCCAGGTGGTCACATTGCGCGAGAATTTAGTCAAAACCAGGGTGAATAACGGTCGAGGAATTTCCTCGACCATAGCTCTCTACCATGCGAGAGTAGTGCCGAGAGTGAACATCCGCGCGGAGAGCACAGACGGCACGCGCATGGCGAGTGTGAATGTCCGCGCGAGAGATCGTGTCTGATCGGGCAGAGAATCCTCGACGTGCCGTTGAGGAATCCTCAAGCGATATTCACCCTGGTCAAAACTACTGAATAATTAGCAATTTCTTTTTGAATTAGAAAATAGGAAAGAGAACCAGCTAATACGTCAGACTCCGATATTCATGTATTTAGGAGCAAATGCGTATTGTGCAGTAACATACTTAGTGCAACACGATGAAGGTCCCCCTCATAAGATCTCACTCGTGGCGGCCAAGTCGAGATTGGCTCTATTCCACCGATCAATAACCATTCCCCGCCTGGAATTGTCAGCTCTCACTATTAGTGCTATTGGGTTGTCTCATAATTCTGTCTCATTTCTATTCAATTTCAAATTTCTTCCGTCTAAGACCGTTTCATTGCGAAATACGTTAGTATGTTGAAGTATGCTTCAAGAGCCTTAACAGCATGGTTTCGGAAGCGCAAGCCCGTAACGGGTTAATCAACTAGGAATAAAAATAGGTCAGTGACTATAATGAATGATTATGCTTTACGATCCTCAAATGAACTCTGTAGCAAGGAGGACAACAGAGAAGATCAGCGCTGTGTTTGACCCAGTCTCTGCTACTGATAGGGTACTGAGCTAGTGGTCCAATCGCAACGGCAAAGACGAAACGAGCTATGAACTTCAACCTCATACTGGGCCTGCGGTCATTTTTGATGAGCGCCCCTTGCACCCTAAATTGGGAGTGCCTCCGACGTTGCTACCAGGGTATTGTAGCAGATACCTGAGCGCAGCCGATGCACCAGCACACGCCATCAGTATGGCAAGGACTGCTGCAGAAAGTTTTGATGGAAACCTTATGGTCCGGCCGACCATGAGCGGGAAGCACGCCTGACCATCTGGGGAAAATCCATTCTGGGACGGCAAAAGCAGAGCCTTCCCTAATCGGTCACCAGTGGAAATGAGTCATGAGTCCACTGCGACAACAACATGCGGCATGGCTGCCTCGCAGCCAGGAAGCACCAGCTCAACCAAAGCCCGAACTCCGTTTTCTGAGAATATCGCTCTCGTTTTGTTGGATTCGCTAGGTGGCCTGGTTTGGGAACCACTTCAATGTATGAAGACAAGCATTGCTAAAGTCAGCGCGGAATAGCCCTCTAGGCTGGCTTCGGGGTTGCGAGGGAATCGTCAGAAACGTCTCAGATTCTCCTTTCTCCGAATGTACGCCAGACCTCACATTGCAATGCCAACTCACCACGTTCTGAGGGAGATAGCCAGGGCCACGATACCTCATCCACCATATAGCATTGGCATCGCTCTATCGGACTATCGCCTCCCCTGCGCCCTGAATAAGCATCTGCCAGAGAAGAAAGTTAAAGATTGCGACCACCCCAAAAACGACTTCTCCAAATTCTTCAACCCCCAGCTTCCTTCATTCTGGGCTGGAAGCTTCCAAACTCACTAGCAAATGCACGCATATCAGTGACCATGATGGTGGTTATGCTATTGATCAGTTGTTTCCTAGAAGAGATAAAACTTGGATAAACAAAAGTGTCGAAATTGCGACAGGAATTATGAGACAACCCAATAAATTGCTTACATTCCTTTCTACGCAAATAGACCTCGAAGTGCGTCAAAAGTTTCTATGGAACCGACAGCACTGTTGCCCTTAGGTGGACAAACACTGATAAAACAGTGCCAGTGTTCGTTCGTAACCGAGTAAAAACGATTCGATCACTTACCTCAGACGTCATTATGCGTTATGTCCCGACGGAAGACAATCCAGCCGACATTGGCTCTCGTGGAACCAATTCACAGAAGTTACAAGCAATGACAAAATGGTGGAGCGGTCCAGATTTCTTGAAGTTGGAGGAAGCAGCATGGTCGGTACAACTAACTAATCATCCAATGCAGAGATATCAAAAGATGTGTCTCAAAAAATCAATGACAAATGCGCAGAACACGATTGTCATCCCGCAATCTTGCCCGAAACAACACCATCATTCAAGCCGCTTCTGAACCATTCCGCTTCGGCACATGAACTTCCTTACTACAAACAGTTTTCCTGGTTTTACGTTTCTTACTTATCCCCAAAGGCAGCTTCACTCTTCAGCCGTCATGATGCTGTACTACGCGCAAGAGCCGAACGAATACTATTTCGATTTGCCCAATCCCAAAATCCCCCAGTCCCGAATTGATACGCCAACTCCATCTGTTCAAATGTCCGGAATGTATATCACTCCTATATTCCTTCCCAGTACAAGCTGCATCACGGCTCTTTTCATACTCCATACCCACTAAGAAAGCAACCACTGCGGTCTTAATCACACGCTAACTCAGCTTCGGCAGCGCGTTTGGATCCCAAAAGGAAGAACAACTGTCAAAAGAGTTCTAAGAAACGAATGCTTCTATTGCAAACGTTATACCGCCAAACCTTTCACCCTCCCTCCATTCCCGCCTCATCCTTCTCTTCGAGTTACGCCACCACAATACCCTTCCAAAGTGTCGGCATGGACTTCTTTCGGACCGATGCTTTACCGCAACTTTGACGGTACATCCTCAAGCTATTGGGTTCTCCTCCTAACGTGTCTCAATACACGTGGCATGCATTTTGACGCTGTCCTCGATATAGACCAGCCTCACGGTTCTCCATGTCCTACGACGCTTGGATGTCCCCACTTTATACTGTGCGACAATGCCCTGTAGTTCAAAGCCATTGCAAAATGTTATTCGTCACTCCTCAAATCCCGATGTCGACAATGATATACATGACTACTGCACAAAAAGACAACTACAGATCAAGCTTATTCCCAGTCTAAGCCCTTCGCAAAGACGAGTTCACGAAAAAATGATCGATGTTTTCAAGAAAATCGTTCATGCACACCATTCGAAATCGACTGCTCAGCATAGAAGACGTCAGGACACTGCTGAAAGGAAACAGAAGCAATAGTCAACACCCGACCACTAACGTACATCACCGATGATATTGATCATATCCCGTTACGACCGATCGACTTCCTACGACCGTACGCCCAACTCGCTGGACCCAGTCCCCAAGAGGACTCCGACGAATGGATTGCAGCCCATGCACACGAGAGTCTCTAGTAGACCGAGTGGTTTCGTACATCGAAACTATTGTCATTGGAACGATGGACCTCAGAATACCTCACTTCGTTACGAGAACAATACAAAGATGAACACCTCAAAGCCGAGATCACATGAAGTGCACCCGCCAAAACAAGGAAGATATTGCCCTTATCCATGATCCTCTCCTTAATCGTGGCCAGTGGAAGATTGGAGAAATTGGATCCTACGACGACGACTTCAGCGACCAATCTAAATACGACTTTCATTGTGAACAATCATCACGCGCCCCAATAATATGGTCTACAAACTAGAGGTCCATCCAACCTCTTTGCAACCGTGGTCACCATTATCACCTACACAAATACCAATGAAAGTATCCAAGCATCCCATGGGCACTAGATCAAGGACACGACATCAACCGACATTCACATCGCCATAGAGAGGATAGAAACACGTCAACCAAGAAGAATTCCTTCGCAGAGACAATTTTTGCGTTCAATGTTAATGTTACCCGCTTGTCGATGTCTAATGCTGAACATTCCTTCTGCCACTGCCTGTTCTTGCCTTGTGAACTTCTGTAACGTACAGAAGAATGAACTACCCTTGTTTACCCCCAACAGGCAGATTGTTGATATCCGCTGTTTTCACTCTCATTCCAAAACATCACTGCTATATAAGCTTTCGACGCTAGTATGTCTCAATTTATTTATCTTTACTGTGCTATCCACTTCAATAAACGACTACGGCTCGGTTTCTGATACATCTGTAAGCAGCGGTAGAAACACTCGTATGCACAGAGATAAACGTAGCAATGCGTTGGGACTCACAAATGAGGAGGCAGTTAATTTTGTAGGGCGCTGGTTTGGTACCTGGAGAATTTTGCAAGGGTCCCAAATGTATGAGAAAAGCGTGACTGGCTGAAACTGCAACGAAAATGGCGAAATGTTGAACGAAATATTTGCTACAGCAACGGTAGCCGATTGTTACCGGTTTTAAATGCTCCTTCATAAAAACAGTGCATGGCGAATCTCAGAGGAGTCGTATTTTCAGCAAGTCGGACCGCTGCTGAATGACCACAGGTGCGATTATGGCTCCAAAGGAAACCGATATTTCTGTACCATACCTATGATAGGGAAAGAGTAATCATTCAGGTAAATTGACTTGTCAAGGGTAAGAGGAACATTCCTAAAGAGGAAAACGTCTGAATCCTCGGATACTCAGGAAAAATTAAAAGAGCTGAAAGTTTCGTGCGATCAAAGAGCACAGAACTCTATTGGAAACTCATGCTCTCAGAAGAATGCCCGAAAATTTAAGGATACCGACAAGCGGAGCCATCTATGATCCGCTTAGTTTTGGAGTGTTTTGGAGTCAGATACTGGGCAATCATGATACTTTTCACTTCTAGTAGCTCCGCCGATTACGAAACAACCTGAAATTTTGAAAAATATCAAGTACACCAGTTTAGCTGCACACGCATTCGCTTGCATCACACGGACTGCAGTAGTATTAAAACAGGGCCATCAATATTTTTGTAAGGCTTTCTGGCAATGTTCGCCCACCTCGCTCCGCGCTCCCACCCACCCTTCCGACCTCCCTTTCGTTGTCGTTTTTTCCACCTTTTTCCGGTCTCCGGGACATCTACCTAGTCGTAATGTTTCGTCGATAACCCACCCACATTGGTGCATGCTCCGCCCACCAATAGTGTTGACCTCCCTCCGTTGCCGGACTCTGACCACTTTTTTCCCGGTCTCCAGGGCATCCTGGAACCGAGCTATGATGTTTCGTAGATAATCCGCCTTATTGCTGCATGCCCGCCCACTAATAGCAGTTAACTTCATTTCCTTCGCTGACCCCTATCCACTCTTTCCCCGGTCTCCGGGACTCTTGACCGAATTATAACTTCGACGCAAACTCCGCCCACTTTTGTGCATGCCGCGCCCACCTATAGCAGCTAACTTCTCTTCCTTCGCTGACCTCTATCCACTTTTTTCCCGATCTCCAGGACTCTTGGGACCGAGTTATAATGTTCCGTGGATAACTCCGCCTACTTTGGTGCATGCTCAGCCCACCGATAGCAGTTTCTCTTCCCTCGCTGACCTCTGCACTTTTCCCCCGGTCTCTAGGACATCCTGGAACTGAGTTGTAAGCCTGGTAGCAAACTACGCCCATCCACCCACTAACTGCAATTGACCTCCGCTTCGTTGTCAGACTTGATCCACTTTTTTCCCGGTCTCCAGGACTTCTTGGAACCGAGTTATAATGTTTCGTGGATAACTCCGCCCACTTTTGTGCATGCCCGCCCACTAGAGCAGTTGGCTTCATTTCCTTCGCTGACCTCTATCCACTTTTTTCCGGTCTCCGGGACTTCTTGGAACCGAGTTATAAGCCTGGTTGCAAACTCCGCCCACTTCATTGTATGCCACGCCCGGCGCTTACATTTAACCTCTCCTCCTCTTCTAACCTCACTTTTTTTCAGGTCTCTGAGTCATCTCGAAGCCGAATTATGAGGTCTTGTAGGAGACGCAATCGAGCATGTATTTTCGTGGCAAACCCCGCCCACTTTGGTGCATGCTTAGCCCACCAATGGCATTCAACCCTACTCCTCCTCAACCCTTATCCACATTTTTCCCGGTCGCCGGGACTTCTAGGAACCGAGTTATGAGAGTGGTGGCAAACTCCGCCCACTTCGGGGTGTGCCACGCCCAGCGTTCACATTCAACCTCTACTCCTACTTTCACCTCTATACACGTTTTTTCAGGTCTCTAAGTCATCTCGGAGCCGAATTATGAGGTCTTGTAGGGGACGAAATCGAGCTACGTATCTTTGTGGCAAACCCCGCCCACTTTGGTGCATGCCTCGCCCACCGATATCAGTTGACTATCATCTCTTCCCCAACCTTTTCTACTTTTTCCCATCTCCGGAACTTATTGGAACCGAGTTATGAAGTACCGTGGCAAACCCCGCCCACTTTAATGCATGCTCCGCCCGCCAACAGCAGTTGACCCCCTTCCCTCTGCCAACCCTTATACGCTTTTTTCCCGGACTCCGGGACTCCTAGGAACCGAGTTATAAGCCTGGTTGCAAACTCCGCCCACTTTGATGTAAGCCACGCCCAGCCTTGACATTTAGCTTCTCCTCCTCTCCTAACCTCTATCCACTGTTTTCCGGTCTCTAAGTCATCTCGGAGCCGATTTATGAGCTCTTGTAGAAAACGCTGTCTACTTCACGACACGCTCCGCCCATTGTGGGCGGGCCTCCGTTCACGTCATGTATGCTGGAAATACCTTAGACATTGCTCCCCTACACTAATTTCTTTTCTGCTCTGTAGGCTTTCTCCTAACCGAGTTATGAATTTTTCATGAGCACTGCTTTTTTAGAGAACGCCCCGCCCACCGAGGGTGGGTCTCCCCATTCAATCTGACTTACCAACGCACACCTATATCCACTTTAATTCCCAGTCTCGAGGCCAGGGTGAATAACGGTCGAGGAATTTCCTCGACCATAGCTCTCTACCATGCGAGAGTAGTGCCGAGAGTGAACATCCGCGCGGAGAGCACAGACGGCACGCGCATGGCGAGTGTGAATGTCCGCGCGAGAGATCGTGTCTGATCGGGCAGAGAATCCTCGACGTGC